GGAATCATCCGGCTCAGCCTTTCTAAGGGCGACAGCGACCTTCTCCAAGCCCTGCTTGTCTCCGTCGACCTAAAGGAGTCCTGCGACGATTTAGGGCTGCCCTGTTCTTGTGGCTCATCCCCTCCGTCTCTGTCCCTTGCCGAACTAGAAAACACTCGGCGACTGACGCTTCGGGACTCGACCGTCGGCGCACCTTGCAGCTGGTACCGGTGCGCCTTGGAATAACTGACGCCGGTCCCCGGCACCCCAAAGAGCCCTTTTCTCCCAGCGTCGCGTAAGGGTCGATCCTCTCTCATCTTGGTCCGGAGCGATGCCCAAGACTCCCCTTGCAGTGCCCGCAAACCCAGCCTTCGCCACCAGCACGCCATCGTGGCTTCGGTGCCTTCCCTTGATCTTTGGATGCCGACAATTAATCAACTGCTTCCTTTTACTTGCTGTTGGTCTGGATGGAATCCACCGTTCTGCAACTCCCCCAAAGAGGATGCAAAGCACACGAGGACGCGGGCGGGACTTTTTCTTCCCGGGCGACCAGCTGCGGAGTGGATCGCAATCCAATCAGAGAACTAGCTTTCCTCTTGCTTCAGCTTCCGGTTATGAACGGAATCCTCAGTGAAGGGCAAAAGACACTGAGGGTGGATATTAATAGAAGTGCTAAGTGAGAGGAGGAGAATGAAAGGATGCCGTTCGTTACAAGGTTTGGAAGAAATGGGGCTCCTCCGTCAAATACCTATTCTCTCACTTCCTGTTGAATTGTGCCTCTCCACCCTTCTCCAAGAGAAGCACAAGTTTAACCGGCTTTGCTTTCTTCACTGCTATATCTATCTCCGTGGGAAAATCTGTCTGCTGAATTTCACACAGTAATAATCTACAAACGTGTCCAGGGGTTCCAACGTTTCCGAAGAACGAATCTAAATTACGCGGGTCCTCAGAATGGAAGAACCACAACAAGCTCAACGTTTTCTTTCATTGAACTTAAACCATGCATAACCCAAGGACTCCACCATGCATAACCTGCCGAGGTGTCTGGCTTCTGCTTTATGACTTTACCAACAACTAAACTTCAAGCATTTTGGGTTTTTTTACCTTAAGTTCTACGTATTAATAGTGGTCGTACCCCGCATATGGAGGACTACTAGCTGCAATTGAGAACCGGATGTTGGGATATAAAACCATTCGATCTTTAGCCCCGTGGGGAGAAATGCGCAAGGGATGATGTATATGGCCTGCGCCGGTTTAGTCCCACGTGGCTATCTACAGATTTCGCGTTGGGCTGTCTTGATTCTTCTACTATAGTAAATTATCTTTGGGCTTGCCTCTCGTGCCATTTCCTTTTGAGCTTTTCCCTAGATGACCGACTATTTATTTGTTTATTCAGGAGGCTAATTATGGTCGCCAAGCGACTCTGCTTCTTGTTTGTATTCCAGCTATTGGCTGTCCAGAAAAGGAAAGTTGGCACTTGACCTTCGATACCAAGATACAGCTGGCCTCGCTATTAAGAAAAGCAAAGCCCCACATTGTAATCTATTTTCCTGATTAGAAAAATATATATATAAAGGGGGAGAGTCGAAAATATTTTTTGTGTATTTGCTTTATTCTTTCAAAGTGTAGTTTTAAAAATAAAGCATGCTTCAGGAGAAGCAGGTACCCAGAAATGCTGACACCCGAGAACAGTCACATTGGCAATCCTGTACCCTATGCTGAAATGTTCTGTTAATGCGATTTAGGTAAATGGGTACAAGATAGCAGCATCAATTAACATTACCAAACCCGGGGGTGTGGGGGGAGCAATACAGTAATTGATCAAATGTTTGCTTAATTAGACCTACCATATGTGGGCTGCAAAAAATCCAGAAGACTGCTGGAGACCCACAAAACTTAAGTTTTCTGTATCTCTTTGCTGCACTGCAGTGGTGGCTCAGCTACGCAGCCCAAACAAGACCCAACAGTCACCCAATAGTCCCTAGGCATTCACGGCTCAACTACTGCAACATGGTATACATGGGGCTGCCCTTAAAGACAACTCAGAAGGTTCAACTGGTCCAGAATGCAGCGGTGCAAGCAGCGATGGGCAGGCCTCAGTATGCCCATGTGACACATCTGCTTTGCAAGCTGCACTGGTTGCCAGTTTGGTTCTGGGTGTGATTCAAGGTGCTGGTCATTACCTATGACATAGCATAGGGCCTGGTTATTTGAGGGATCGCCTATCTCCTGTGGGGCCTGTCCAGCCAATTTGAGCTGACAGGGTTGGTGCACTCTGGATTCCTTGAATTACACAATGACATCAGGAACCAGGAAGCACACCTCTGTTGCAGCAGCTGCCCTCTGGAATGGGTTCTGGATGATGTCCACTCTGTTGGCGTTCCAAAGAACTATGAAGACTTGGCTGTTCTCCCAGGCCTTGGGATAGGGTCATTGATGCCCCCTTTATTGGATGTTAGTTGTAGGATGTTTCTGGGTTTGCCACTTTGCTCTTCTTTCTTTTTCTTTGTCCAAGTCTGATTCTGTTATTTGTTTGTTTCTGTTATGCTGTTTTTATATTGTTTTGGTGTATTGTGAGCTGTCCAGAGTCATTCCTCCGGGGTAAAAAGTTTGAGAAAGCCTGCTTTAAAAATTCAAACCAATTTGAACAGATTCAAAAAAGAGCAACAAGGATAATCAGGGAAATTAAGTCATGTGAAGAGAGAGTTGTTTTTTTTCTGTTGTATCACCAACCCTGATAAGTATGTTGCGTTGGAAATACTTAGCTTCCAATTAGTAAGTATAACACATGTTTTATCTATTTCTGAGAAAAGTCTAGAATTCTTTATGTAATTTTATATTTTATCAGTCTTAATGCATTTTTCTTTTTCTTCATAGTTCTTTTTTCTGCTTTAATTCTTTAAGGGTCTTTAGAAACAATTGTTTTTAAATGAAGAGAGAATAAAGGAGCTGTTAAGTATTTAAAGTATATTATCCATGTTATTTCTAAGGATAAAGAAATAACATGGATAGCACACTTGCAGGACATGGAATTGGAGTGCAGGACATGGAATTGTGGATTTATCTCACAGGATGGGAGATTCTTACTGGATTTTTTAAAAGCCTTCCAATAGTAAGAACACTTCTACAGTAGAACCTGTTACCCAGAGAGATAATACGCTCCTCTCACTGTATATATAGAGACCCGACAGCCATTTTGGGGGGATACTTTAATTTGGTGCCCTGCACTGAGCATGGGTTACTCTCAGTTACCTGAATGATTCTGTGACTGAGTTTTGCGCAGAAATTGGACGTGCAATTATTGTTCTTAAGATTTGTCCTGCTTGAGTGCAGGGTTTGCCTCAGCAATCAAATGTAAGTTTACTAGAGAAAAAGGACATTAAAATTTGAAGCACATTTATTCCAGTTTAATGGGGAAAATAAGTGCTTAAACAAGCATTCAGTAAAGCATGTTAAATTGCAAGTACTTTAAGATGTGAATTCATTTAGCGTTCTTTTCTAGCCTAATCTAGAAAAGATTCTTGTGAGAAGAGGGATAACTGTATTAGGTGTATCATATCTGGGCTGCAGAGTTCAGATTTTTGAAGCACAGGAACAATAGGCCTATTCTTTTAACTACCGACCATTTTGAGACAGTAGATATAAATGTGATGAATAACAGAATCAAAAGCACATTCCTATTAGTGTCTACTCATATACATCCTGATTGGGATTTACACATCCCTGGTGTTTATTCCAAACCAATGAATTTAGGACTGTAACAAAAATAAGCTACACGAAAAAGCGTGGCCAGTCTGTGGAACTGACAAGATATTTGCATTGTCTTCCTCTCCATTGCTGGTGCGGTTTAGACCAGTGTTTTTCAACCATGGCAACTTCAAGATGTGTGGACTTCAACTCCCAGAATTCCCCAGCCAGATGGTTAGGGAATTCTGGGAGTTGAGGTCCACACATCTTGAAGTTGCCAAGATTGAAAAACACTGGTTTAGAATGATTGTAACTGGTCTCCTGTTACTACGAGGAAACGCTCTGTGAGCAATTGCGGTTGCATTCCAGCAGCCAAATTTAAACAAGAGGCTAGTCCCTGCTAGTCCCGGTTCTCAACTCTGCCACTGCATTCCTGGGCAGATTCACTTGGAAGAAAGCCGACGGATTCATCAGGCTAAGGCTACAGAAACGACCTCCCAACGTCAACCCCCGGTTACGACGACTCCGGCGAAGAATGACGGAACGCAGCGCGTCGGCCTGGAGGGCGGAAAGGGCGGCGGCGAGCTGAGCGCGGGGCGGGCGGCGGCGAATGCGCCTGCGCGGGGCCCACCACGTGGCTGCGTGCGTGCCTGCTGGGAGCAGAGAGGGCCGGGCCTGCAGCGAGCGCCATGGCGGCAGCGG